TTCACCACACTGTGTTCACGGGCAGGTGCCCTGGAGCAGTCCCTTAGCAGTGAGCCCCCCCCCCACCGCCCACCCCTATGAAGCCAGAGTCAGCCCCTCTACAATCAGTTCTGAGCTCTCAGACCGCATGTTCAACTCAGTCCCGGCTGCAACATTTTAAGAACAATACATGTTCCCAAACGAATGCTTGTCCTGAGGAGGGTCAGCCCAGGGACTGAAAGCTTGAGAAACCATTTCATCCAAAAACTAAGAAACTAAGTTCTACTCGGCTCTGCAGACAGATGTCTGAGCCCTGCCCACGGTTTAGATGGTTTGCCTTGGAGCAGTCACTTACCCTCTGTGCTTCTGCTTCACCACCTGTAAAATGGGACTATTCATAGTACTTGCGGTATCAGGTTATTATGGGGAGTAAATGAGTTAATACGGGAAAAGTCCTGAGAAAAACACCCGGCCGAGGAGGCACTGTGCAGCTCCTGCTGTTGTCTTATTCTCACTGCTGTTGGTGGAGAAGAGCAGGCCACGGAGACACGGGGGTCCTGCCTGCTACTTATCCACCATGGAACTCTGTGGGCTTAAAAAGGTAGAGCCTAAGAGCAGATTCCAATCCTGGCCCCTCTAACAGCTGGGCGACCTTTGCAAAGCCTGTAGGTTCTCAGAGTCTCGGTTTGCCCATCTGACTTGGGGGGGCAGGAGTGGGGGGCATGGGGTAGAGAGGACTCTCCTTCCTTATCTAAGGAGCTTGTTAGGAGGATCCGAATCTGATAGTGGACTTTGCAAGCTGCAGGCAAGTGCTGTTGTCCTAGTCAGTGGGTGAAGGAGAAGGAGTCTTTAGGGTTGCTTCAAAGAGACAGAACCAGAAGCAGAGGCTAGAAGTTTTAACGAGGTCAACTGCAGCTCTATTTAAGGAAGAAAGTTTTGGTTTTTTGTTTTGGTTAGGTTTGTTTTTAGAGGGAGGGTGCACAGGTGCAGGGGTGGGGGAGGGCAGAGGGGCAGAGAGGGAGACAGAGCATCCTAAGCAGGCTCCAAGCCCATCATGGAGCCCAACACAGGGCTCGATCCCAGGACCCAGAGACCGTGACCTGAGCCGAAGGCAGATGCTCAACCAAATGAGCCACCCAGGTGCGCCCCTAAGGAAGAACTTTCTAAGGACAGCTGCTACAGAGGTGGGTAGGGTCCTGACACGAGAAGGAGCCCATCACTGGGGGCCGAGGAGGACAGTCCTAAGAGTCTGGGCTCTTGTCCCTGCCCAGCCTGTGACCCACAAAGCCTGATTTCCAGACCCTGCAGGGTTAGGCATAGAAGGCCCAGCTCAGAGCCCTCCCCACCAACAGCGTCTCTCTTTGGGGAACTGCCCCTCTCCTCATCCCACCCCTGCGCAATCTTGGGAAGGGATTTACCATCTTTGGGAAAGGATCCCATGACCTCCTTTGCTGTCTGAGAATCTCAAGCTCTTCCTTAGGTCCAGCCTCAGTCCCTCCTGGGACTAGATGAAAAATATATTCTCGGGCTCTGTTTTCCCTTGATGCGGATATGACCGGCTCTCTCTCAGGTGAGAAAAGCCCTTTGTTGACAAGAAAGAAAGGGACTGCTCTGGCTGACCCTTCACACTGGATTCTTAGCGCTTCCTTGCTTAGTATGGAAGGTCTTCAGCCCCTCGCCCCCTCTTCCGGAAATGACCAAGCAGCCTAGGACCGCTCTGTCTCTGCTGGCCGGGGACATCTGGCTACTGGCTGTGGGCACCCCTGCTCTGACCCTGCCTCATTCCTGTTCCCTCCCCAGCTCTTCTGTCCTGTCCACTGGTCTCCACCTGCTCCCTGCTACTTCCCTGGAGGAATCACGCATCTGGCCCATCCCCTGCACCTGCCGCCAGCCAGCAGCCATGATTCACACTCGGGTCACCACCCACCCCTGCCTCTCTCCTAGAACAGGAGCCAAGAGCCCTGGATCCCTCTCTGGCACACCTGATGAGTACTGCTCAGCTGTTTTTTTTTTTTTTTTTAAGATTTTATTTATTTATTTGGGACAGCATGAGCTGGTAGGGTGGGAGGTAAAGGGAGAAGCAGGCTCTGCAGTGAGCGGGGAGCCCAATATGGGGCTCAACCCCAGGACCCTGGGATCCTGACCTAGCCAAAGACAGACGCCTAACGCCTAACTAACTGAACCATTCCAGGCGCCCCAAGTACCCCTCATCTTGTTCCTGCTCTTCCTCATAGGACCCCACCAGCAGCCTCAACCTTGTGGTACTTAACCGGGCTCCTCCTCAAAGTGCAGAGGGAGAAAGAGCCTTGAAATCAAACACACTGGGTTTGTGACTCAGCGGTAACCTGAGATGCACTGGCTGCTCCATGGGGTGGGTGGGTGGGTGTGGCAGGGTGACTGTTGCCTGTGTGACTCCGGCAGGTTACTCAACCTCTCTGGGCCTCCGGCTCCTCATATATAACATGGGCCTAATATTAGTACCGACTTCAGAAGTCTTTTGTGAGAATTAAATAATTTCACATAAAATGTAAACTTCTATCCAGCACACATTAAGTACTATAGAATTAGTATATTAGCTATTGTTGTTGTTATTTCTTTATTATTTGTTCAAATTGCTCAGTTTACTAACTCAAATCATGTCAGCTCCATTTCCAAAGGGAAATAATAATAATGTCTTACCCAGACCTGCCAAGTTTCAATGAGACAGTCCTTATGAAGCGCCCAGGGGCGCCCCGGTGGCTCATTTGGTAAAGCATCTGCCTGCAGCTCATGATCCCAGGGCCCTGGGATGGAGCCATGGGGCTCCCTGCTCAGTGGGGAGCCTGCTTCTCCCTCTCCTCCCCACTCATACTTTTTTTCAATATCTCTCTCACTATCTCTGTCTCTCTCTCAAATTAAAAAAAAAAAAAAGAAGAAGAAGAAGAATCTTTAAAAAATAAATAAATAAAGCACACAGCACAGGGGTGAGCCTGTGCCAGGAGGTCCACATTGTTCCCCGGGCTAGGGGGCCTTCCCAGACTCCCCTCCTGTCCTGAGGCGCACTCTCTCTGCTAAGCCTTGAGGCCATCAGTCATGCCAGAGAGATTCTTTCTATTGTGGACACCTGCCTCCCAGCTGCTGCTCTGGTCTCAATCCCTGGGGCTTCTTCCTGGCCTGCCCATTACCCCTACCCATGACCCCAGCCCCTGCAGAACCTTAGGTAATATACAGGCCACAAAAGACGGAGCCCGGCCCTCTCCATCTCGCCCTTGTGTCTTCAAAGCACAAGCATTTATCACGAGCCTGCTACCCAGCCTATGGTCCCTCCCACCTGCCTGCCTTCCCCTCCCTGCTGGCTCGGAGTGGTCCACCATGGCCCAACGGGGTGAAGGGGAATAAGTGGGGGAAATATCAGGGCAGGGAAGCAGCAGAGGGTCAACAAGAAGAGAAGCAAAAGCCCATGGGCACTAAGGAAGAAAAGTGAGGCTGACCCCGGGCAGGGGGAGGGGAAGGAGAGCCAGGAAATGACATGTAAATGTCTGACTACAAACTTCATCTATTCCATGTCCTGCACCTAGGGAATTAAGAAGAGGAAGGGTTTGTGACCTGACAGAGGGTGAGTCACAGCTAGGTCACTATCTCGGTGGCCTTCTCCTCTGTCTTTGCCTCGGTTTCCTCCAAAGTAAAATAGGGATAATAACAGTCCCTGCCTCATGAGGTTGGTGGGGGAGTTGGGGGTACTGCAGAGTACTTAGCAGTGGCTGGTGCACGAAATGGGCCCTTCGCCAGGAGGGCATACGAAGGCCAATCCCTGGAATGGCCCGCAGTGTTTTCTCTGGGGCACAGGACGTCCCAACCCTTATTGGTCCGTGACTCACCTTAGGACACAAACAGAATGCATGGGGGGGGGCCCCACCCTTAGTATGTGACCAGTCTCCATCATCCGTAATGGGGCACACACACACACACACACTCTCGTGCGGTCACACCCACAGGCACCCATAAATCTTACAATCCCTGAAGGCAGAAACTATGACTCTCACAGTCTTTATTGGACTGATCACTCGGCCCTGTGTTTTGGTTTTGGGGGTTGGTTCTTTCCTTTGTTTTTCGTCCTGCTGCTATTTGTGCTGCCTGTCTCTTCTATCTTATTTTATCCTCTGGTCCCCAGAACCTACCTGCCTTTGGGGAAGACTGGATGAATGAATGAGTGATCCCATCTGCCCGGGGCCTCACATTGTGTGGGGGCAAGTTCCAGGTGCCAGCAAAGGTGACCCAGTGAATGAACACAAATAAAAGGTGTATATAAACACCCAGCCCCGCCCTCCTTTCTTCTCTGTGGTCACCATCCCCTCCAGCTTCCAGAAGATAAGCTGGCAAAGAACAGCAATGAAACCCAAAACTGCAGGACACACCCAGCACTTGAAAGTCAGGTACCAGGGCAGGTGAGCCAGAAAGCACCTCAGGGGTCACCTGGGTCTTTGGGGGCACAGAGGACCAGGGGGCTGGATTCCATCCTGTCCTGGTCGCCTCTGGCTCCACCCCAGCCTCAGTGCTCTGGGACTGCTTGGCTGCCACCCCCCCCCACGTCACTTTCTCCAAAACAAACTCCCCCTTCTATACCAACACCAAGAGACCGGCCTGCCGGCTCCCACCCACCACCCACGACCCGCAGCACCTGCCACAGCTTCCCCTCTCCACCACATTCTTCTCTCAAGGTGGAGGAGGCCTTGTTCTTCACCCTCCTCTCACTCTGGGGAATCTGGGGAAGGGACAGGAATGATCTCTACCCTGCCCTTCGGGGTAGCCGCATCTCCCTCCATCAGCACTCCCCCCCACCCATGGGAGGTAGAAGGGACGCGAAAGGGAGGGCACTGCTGCTCCAACAACCACACTGTGGATAAGCCGTGGGCAGTGCCCCCAGCCCATCAAGTCAGGGAGTCCCTATCTCCTTGGGGACAGGAGTACCCCCTCCTCCCGCCGCATGTGCAGTCCGCCCCTGCCGGCTCTGGCCCAGCCTCGCCCCCGCACAGCGGACTGACCTGTAGGGGTTGAGGTTGCAGATGGTGACCGCGGGGAAGACGAGCTTGTCGGAGTTGAGGTTGATGTTGAGGCTGACGGGGTAGCTGAAGTACTCCCCGAACAGCTGGCCGAACTGCCAGTACATCATGCAGAAGGCGCAGAGCCACAGCACGGCCCAGAAGGCCGTCTTCATGCGGTTGTGCTGGGAGCACACCAGTCGGATGGCGCCGTGGATGGTGGTGTTGTTGCAGAAGAACTGGAAGAGCTCTCGGTAGGAGCGGTGGAACTCGATCAGGGCCTCCTCCTCTTCTGTGGGCTGCGGGGGGGCCGCGGGTTCGGGGCCGGGCCCCTGCTCCTCACGCTGCTCTCCTTTCATGAGCCTTGGAGGGTCATGGTGGGGGGGGGGGTCAGTGCTGAAGTTCTGGGCCCTGGTGCCTCCCCCATCATCACCTTGACCCAGAGTGAGGGTGCTCCTGGCCAGGCCCACACCACGTTGGGAGCCCCCTCTTCTCCGCCCCTCCCTCCCTCCCTCCACCTTCCCAGGAGCCGGCTGACCTGCAGGAGTCGGGGCCAGAAGAGCTGTAGCTGGGCTTCCCTGGGAAGCTACCTTTGGGGTTCTGTCCCAGCACCTCCCTTTCTGTCTCAGCGATCAGTCTGCCCTGTCTTTAGTCTCCTTCCTGCAGGACCTCTGTGTCCCAGCGCTGACTCGTGCTCCCCCTCTCTCTGTCCTTTCTGCTTCTCTTTGGGTCTCTTTCTCAGCTCTCTTCTTCCTTGCCTGTCTCCTGTCTATGTGCCAGGCTCTCTGATCCTGCGTCTTCCTCTTCCTCCCCGCCTTGCCCCCTCTCAGTCTGGGTGGGCTCTCTCCTGTGTCTCTGGCCCTGGCCTTGGACTGTGTCCTGACTCCCTCTGTCCCAGGGCCTAAAGGCCTCCAGGACGTCTGGACTGCCTCCTGCTCCCAGCTCCCAGGTTGTGGCTGGACTGGGACTGGTTCCTTTCCAGTTGAATCTGGCAGGCGAGCCTCTCCTCCCCCTCACCTGACAGGTGCAACGGCCTGGCTAGGGAGCCCGCCCGCCAGGCTGGGATGGAAGCGACAGAAGCCTCATTAGCATCTCAATTAAAGGTGAGCAGGGCAGGGGGAGGGGCAAAGGAGGAGTTTGAGCTAAGAGTTCTCCAAAGGGCGGAAGGCTCCTGAGGGCAGGTGCCAGGAGAGTCTGGACTTCCCGGGAGTGGAGAAGGCAACAGCCCCCCACCCAGAAAAGTAACGGTGGGGGGTGCTGACAGACGAGGAGACCAGAAACAGATGGACGGGGAGGGTCAGAGATCATGGACTAGGAGAGAAATCCTGAAAACCAAGCCAGGAGGGCAAAACAAAGGAAGAAGAACCAATCAGGATGAGGGGGACTAAAGCCGGGGAGACCAGGAGGACAGAGAAGGCAGAAAAAGAGAGATCCATGGAGGAGGACAGAATGGAGGCCCGGGAGGGAGGGCAGAGTTGGAGGAGCGGCAGAGAGACGAGGGTGATAGGGAGGGAGCCAGCCCTGAATGGACTCTCCCCTCCCTGGCAGGAGATCAAGGGGAAGAAGCCCCAAGTGGGCTTCTAGGAGCTAGTTTCTCTCCCTGGGGACTCCTTCCAAAGGCACCCCTGGGTCAGCCTCACCCCTAGGACTTGCAGAAGAAGAAGGGGTTATCTGCAAGTTTCCTCCTTCCTCAATAAAGTGGGAACACATCCTGGCCCCACTGCCTTCCCTCCTGGTCCATCCTCTTCCCTCCTGACTCCTCGATACCACCCCCTACCTTGTCCAGGCCAGGGAGGGGCCCAGGTGAAGCTGAAGCTTGGGCGGGGCCCTGGGACATTCTGTTCTTTTTTACACCATTGGCTGCCAGGCCAGGAATGTGTAATGTCCCCTGTTGTGGTCACGGGGTTGCAGGAATGTGGTCACCGAGAGGCAGCACAGGGGCCAGGCAGGGCACCCAGGCACAGACCTGGAGCCCAGGGCACATTAGGGACAGCTGACACCGAGGGGACAGGGAGGGATGTGGGCAGCACTGGGCGTCACGGAGTAAGCCCTGTCTGCTCCAGCCCTGGAAGGAAGGAAAAGCTCACTGGTCGGGGCTGTGTTTTTCCTCCAAGATCTCAGCTCCAAACTTAATCCAGCAAGAGGATAAAGAGTGAAGTGTAAGCAGTGAGCACGCAGAGAGGGAAGGCGCAGGGCGATGTCCCAGAGAGAAGCCCAGGGAGGCATAGGAGACACAACCACACAGCCCAGACCCTGAGCCTGAGGGCAGGTCAGCCACAGCAGACCCCTACCAGAGGCAGCCCCAGTACTTGTCACTGGCTGCTGCCACCTCCCTGGGGGGAGCAGACCTGGGATAGGCAGACACAGGCCCCGCCTGAGCACTGACGCAGACGGGTAGAAGAAGACCGGCAGGCAGGCTGGCAGCAGAAGATAAAGACTCTCTCTGGGCAGAGACAAGAACTAAGGGCTGAGGGAGCCCCGGGGAGGGCCAGCGAGAGGCACTCACCCTGAGGAAACTCAGGAAGACTTCCTGAAGAAGGCAGCATCTCAGCTGCATCTTGAGGAATATGGAGGAGTCTACCAGGCACACGAGAGGGAAGCGGGGTACTCCAAACTCAGGGGGCAGCTGGGTCCTGGGGCTTCCTCTTGGGACAGGAGTTCTCTGTGGCCTCATAAAGTGAGAGCTGCTGTCAACCAGGATTCCCAGCCCAGTCCCATGGCTTCCCTGGATGCCTGCGGGGGACAGCCCCCTCCTAGGAAGGGAAAGGCTGGGTTTTCCTTCATTTTCCAGATGAAGAAACTGACCCTCCACAAGAAGAAGCCAGTTTTCTGAGGGCACAGAACAAAATGGCAGCTAAGTGAAACACAAAATCAGAATTCTCCTCCTGTGGGATTGTCTGCTTAGGGCATTTGCCATTTATTTCCCATGATGAACCAGCCAGAGACTCACGGGGAATTGGAGCTCCCCTGCACCTGGTTTTGAAAGCCATGAAGGTTCCCACACAGAGTGCCTGGGCTCCTCAGCAATCTGGGTCCCCAATTCTCTACCTGACTCTGTGAAAAGCTCTCGTTACACCATCCCCACGTTCCCGTGGGACCCTGACACCCCTAGATCCTCCATTCTCCCTGAAGTCAGGTCCCTAAACAAGGAGTGATCCTACCTACAAACAGGGTATGCAGCACCCTGCCTGTTTGATCCTGAAGTTTCCCAGAGGCACTTCCCTGTCTTCTGTATTCCCTTGCTAGTGTCTGATATCCAACAGTGGCTTAAAGCAGCATAGCACAGAGTTTCAACTCCAAGGGCTCTGTGAGCAGAATTGCAAGGGCTGGCTGGGCTGAGCAGGAGCACGTGGTGTCCCTGGAACTACCTGGCAGGGTACCGGGAGGGAGCTCGGGCTTCGAGAAAGTGTCCTAGATCTGGAATGGGCCAGATCAAGTTTGTTGTTGTGAGAAACGGAAATCTGAGACCTGTTTCTGTTTCTGAGACCTACACTTCTGTTTCTGTCCTGGCTCCATTTAAAATATTATCTTTTGAGGGGCACCTGGGTGGCCCCGTCGTTAAGCGTCTGCCTTCGACTCAGGTCATGATCCCAGGGTCCTATGATCCAGCCCCACATGGGGCTCCCTGCTCAGCGGGGAATCTGCTTCTCCCTCTCACACTCCCCGGGCTTGTGTTCCTGCTCTCTCTCCGTCTGTCAAATAAATAAATAAAATTTTAAAATTAAATAAGTAAAATAAAACATGATCTTTGAAAGTGCAGAAATCATGCCCAAACACATTGTTGTGGCAATGCAGCTTTCCAGCAATACAGAAATACACAGAACGACAAAAGCTCCCCTTTGCTCCATTTCCCACCCACCCCTCCACCCAAGGAGAGCCGTCATAATCTATATATTGGTCTGGATCTTTTTGCGTGCTTTTATAGGCCTACATGTATTTTTTTTTTTTTTTCGTAAATGGGACCATGTCATAGGTATTCTGTGACTCCCATATTTGCCTTTAAACTATGTGACTTTCAAAAAGGCACTTTACCTCTCTGGGCCCCTGTGTTCTCATCTGAAAAGTGAAATGGCAGGGGCAAGTGAGGGTGAGACAGCCCAGATGGTCCCAAAGGCCCCTTCCAATTGACTTAATGCAAGAAGGAACCACAGCCCCGGAGAAGCTAAGTGACGTGCCCAAAGTCACCCAGGAGTTAGGAGGGAAGCCAGTAGGACAGCTGAGCCTCTTCTTTTTTCCCTGCTCAGTGTTGTTCTCCTGACTTCCAAAGAAGTGGAGTCTTGCTCTGCTGTGGACCCAGGGCCTTGTTGTCCTCAGTTTGGAAGTTCCCCCGGCCTCTCCCAAAAACCAAGCTGTTCCTTCCCTCCCAGCTCTAGCCATCCCCTGACCCTAGGCTTTGACCATAAAATGGGAAAAGGCTACAGGGAGAGAAGTAAAATAGAGGGTCTGCAGTGATGAGGGTCCTGAGTTTAAAGGGTCTTCTGGCCTCTTGCTCTCTGGGGAACAGGACATGATGGAAATAATCACTTTCTCACCCACACTCCCAGAGAAGCCTTGTTGAGAATTCTATGGCAGCACTTACTGCTGGATACTATTAACCTGTGCGTGTGTGCATGTGTGGGTTTGTGTGCCTGCATGTGCACAGATCCTACTGAGTTCTCTAAGAACGGGTGCTAGGCTTATTCATCTTGGTGGCCCCACTGTCTACTGGTCACTCTTTGTTGACCCACTCTGCAGAAGACCACAAAATCAGCATCTTCAGACTCAAGGTTCATCTTTGACAGAGAGCGATGCGCTAGAAGAAAGCATCTCCATCAAACATCCTGATTTCCTTGGATAACTCATTAATTTGTCATCTATTAATTTATCTAAATTTCCTTCACTTTTTCCATTTCAGCTTCTATCCTTTCTAGTGTAAAAAATGAGTCACTCAATTAAATGCAACTCTCTGTTCTCACTACTTAGAGCTAATTAGCGTTTCAACACTGGGCTGCCCACTGTGGAAAACAGTGATACTTCTATCTGCGCTTACATGGTATGGAAAATTCCTCCTTGTGACTCCTACTCCGGTCACCTGGCAGGAGGCTTAGAAGTTCACCATTAGATGTTTATTCCTTTGGGTCAAGGCAGGATTTCTCTACCTTGGCACAAATGACAACTGGATGATTCTTTGGGATTATAGAGAAGGATGGTCCCCAGTGAAAATGCAAATAATCTGGAGGAGGCTGGCCCTCACCCATGACTCATCTCTCAGTGTTTCCCAGACCCTTTCTAAGGGCACTAGTTGGCTAAGAGCAGTGTGGGGAAGAGGAAAAAAAGAAAGAGTATCCAACAGAATCCATCCGTGGGGCGCCTGGGTGGCGCGGTCAGTTACGCCTCTGCCTTCAACTCAGGTCATGATCCCAGGGTCCTAGGATTGAGCCCTCCTGAGAGGGTTGAGCCCCTGCTCAGCAGAGAGCCTGCTTCTTCCTCTCCTTCTGCCTGCCACCCCCCCCCACCACACACACCACTTGTGTTCTGTCAAATAAATAAATAAAATCTTTTTTTTTTAAATTTTTAAAGAATCCATTCCCACCAACCCCCTTTTTGGATTCTTCCTGGACCTCTGGGAAGAAGGATCTCTCAGCAGGCCCCTTGGAGGAAGGCCTGAGAGAAGGGCCCCACTCCCAAATGTTCCGAGAATCTGTGGGGTACACCGTCCAGGCCTGGCGCTGCCCAAAGAAAATCAGTACAACTTGAAGGAAGCTGGCGAAGAACACAAAGGAAAGAAACCAAGACAATGCCCTGTCCATAAAGAATTCATGGATCTCCGCTGTGAGTTTCCTTCATCCTCCTGGAGAGGGCTGGGTGGGCATAATAACCATTTCTTGCTAGGCTTTGTCCATCGTGGTCCAGCCTAGAAACAGGAAAAGCTCTGAGTCTTTCAAGTGGAAGAAATTTAACCCAGGGGATTGGTCCATCGGTGATGAAGGAGATAAGAAGCCAAGGGGGACAGCAGACAACCCAGAATGTAGCAAAGCAGGAAGCCGCCTCACCTCCAGGACTGGAAAACCAGCAGGGTCATGTAGCATTATAGACCCGGAGGCCCCCTAAGCCATTCGGCAGGAAGTAAATAGTGGGGGCTGCCTGAGAGGAGATGGGATTATGAAAGGAGAGAAGGAAGAAGCACAACCAACTGCAGGTGAGGTCCGATGGCTGAAAGCAGAGAGAGACAGGGAGAAAGAGCCTGGCTTCTTTCCTCCTCCCACCTACCTGTCTTCCTCCCACCTGTCTTCCTATTGGCTGAACCTACCCAGAAGCCGGAGGAAAAAGGAATCTGGGAAATGTAGTTTCCAGTAGTAATACAACACAGAGCCGAGGAAACTAGAGAACAGATCTGTAAGCAAACCGGCAGGTGACTGGCAAAGGGGGGGAAAAAAAGAGGCCCAGAGAGAGGAAGTGATGGGACCAGGATAAAAGTCCAGATCTTAAGGCTCTCATCTAGGATCCAGAGAGTCCTTGAAGGCTGACGTGACAGCATGAGATTGGCAGCAGAAAAAAGAACGTAGTCCAGCCAGTTGGGCTTTAAAAAGATCTGAGATAGTGCTTACCTATGAAGCAGAAACCTTTTGAAGTACAGGAAGTGTCGTAGGGAGATACACAAAAACATACAAAAGTGAAAATTCACTGATCTGTATGCATAAGATTAGTGTACTTTATGCATTTCGTTGTTTATGAATTATACCTCAGTTAAAAGAAACAGGAGTTCCTCCTGTCTTTTGGATCAAATCCTGCCATATTTTCAAGTGACGTGATCTGTGTCTGGGGTTTGCTTCTAAATAATCAAGGGAAGATTGGAAGAATGGAGGAAGGCTGTATGGAGGAAACTGCCATGAGCCCAAGCTGGAGTTCACAATATTATTTTCTCCCCTTTTGTGTACGTATATGCTAGTGCAAATTTCCATAATAAAATGTAAAAAAAGAAAAAGGAGGAAAAAGGCTCTGGGGACCCCACACACACAGACATGCCTCGATGCACTGGAGAGCTCAGTGCTGAGTCCAGTCCCAGCCCCCAGTTCCCTTGACCGGGAAAGAGCAGCAGCCCCAAGCTGTGCATGCTGCTCTGAAATGTCTTCCCTTTCCAGGCAGCCTTGGACCCTCCGGATAAACACTTGCCCACAGAGTACAGATCTCAGGCTTGTACAAGGAGAGTGAACTGAGCTGTCTACACTCAGGCAGGCCCTTCACTCTCTTGGGAGCCCTCCTCCCCAGACACACTCTTGCACCAGGACTTCCCAGCTCCCCACCAAGACCTATCCAGCCAGTCAGACCAACCACTGCAAGGATGAGTGCAGTGCCCTGCAGGGAGAGGGGTGGGACGGTGCCTAGGCAACCTATCTCCGGAGAGTAAGTCAGACCCTCACGCCAAAGGAGACAGTCCAAGTCACAAGGAGGCAGCGTGGTTGCTGGTTGAGCTTGGAACCCAGGAATCAGGAACTCTGAACTCCAGGCTGGGTCTGCACAGACTGACTGGGTGATATGATCAAGGCCTCGTCGTTTACTCCATAAATGCATACCAAACACTGGGCATGGGCCAGACTGGGCTAAGCACTGGGAGCCGGACTTAAAGATTCCACCCAGACCATTGCTGAGTTCACAGCCTGGTGGAGCAGGAGGCAGAAAGCAGCAGGTCCCAGACTGCAGTCGGGTGGGAGCCGAGCAGCCTGGGTGGGGTGGGGGGTGCTCCCAGAGCCCTGCTGAAGCTCAAGGACAGATGGGAGCTAGCCAGGAGCACAGAGACCTAAAGACCAGAGAGCCTGGCATCAGGGGACATGGGGGTGCTGTTAATGGGTCGCAGGGAAATGATGGGAAGAAAGGGGGTAGGGACAAGACCAAACCCCCTGGAATCCCGGTCTCCTCTCAGTGGCCCCCTCAGCCTCCGTCTTCTCACCCTTGAGGCGAGGGGGCTGGATGGGTGGGCTCTCAGCCTCCTCCCATGCAGAGGGATTCAGTCTCCTGGGTGAGGAAGCTGGGACTGAGGGCCAAGGTTGTCCAGCTCCAGGGCAGCTGCCCCTACTCATCTTCCGGTACTGGGTCTACCCGTTCTTCCCTGTCATCTAAGAACAGGGGAGCGGGGACCGCTGCCCTCTCTGCTGTGTCTTCTTGGTGACCTGCGCCCACTAACGTGGGCACAGGGATGGATCACGCACAGGGAGGGCTGTCTGACTTGTTATGCCTTTGTAGCTTGTCTTTTAAAAAGTCACACGACAGGGCAGGAACTCCCAGGCATCCAGATGGATGCCAAGTGGGACTTCTGTTTCCCAGATGCTGCAGCTGGCTGGCTGGCTGACTGTGGGTCCCTGGGGGTCCCTGCACTCCCCACGTCTGTCAACCACAGGCCCTTCCACTTTCAGAGCTGGCACCCAGCTGGACACAGCTCTGTCTGTCTCTCTCTGTTCCAAGCCAGCTCTGCCCTGCTCTCCGAGGCCCATCTGAGCATTGTCCACTGACTCTGCTGCCCTTTCTCACCTAGCCGACCCCTGCAGTCCTCCCCTGCTGGCCAGGCTTCCGAAGAAGGGAGGAGGCCCGGTTCCGGCCCTGCTGCCCTCACGTGCTTTCCCGGCCGCCCCCTCCCGCCCTGCATCGGGGCAGCCAAGCCTGTTCCTCTTCCCCGATTGCGACAGCTGCCTCTGCTCCCAGAGCTCCCTGTCCCCGCCCCGAAGGCCGGCTCGCTCCACTCCCACTTCCTGAGCCGGCGCTGGAGCCCTGGAGGCCAGGCCAGGGCTGGCCGCACGGCCCTCGGGGGCACGTCAGCCCGAGCCCTGTCCCAGGCCCTGGGCTTGGGAGCTTGCTGCCACCACTGCCCAGGACGTGCAGGCCTCCCACCTTCCTGCCCCGGCCTCTACCCATCTGGCCGACTGTCCTACTGGCCGCCATGCGCCTGCCATGGGCCGCCTCCCCCTGCGGCCTGGCCTGGGGGCCTCTCATCCTGGGCCTCTGCGGTCTCCTGGCAGCATCCCAGGCCCGACTGGTGAGGGAGGGGCCCATGTAGGTGGGTGGTGGCTGGCTTGGGAGGGCAAAAGGGGGTCTGCACAGCCCTCTCTCTAGTCCCTCTGCCCTCCCAGCAGACCCCTGAGTAATTCTCCCCCCACCTCCATCTCCCCGTGAAGGAGCCCCCATACCACACAGAGAACCGAACGTGCTGGGACCGGGAAAAGGAGTACTACGAACCCAAGCATCAGGTCTGCTGCTCCCGCTGCCCCCCAGGTGAGAGGCAATGGCCCGAGGAAGCTGGGGACGGGAGGTGAGTGGCAGGGGACTCTGGCCCACCCCGCTGCTGCCTCGGAGGGAAGACAGACACCATCTCCCAGGAAAGCCAGGCAGCCATCCTTCATGAGTGGCTCTCCAGAGGACAGGGTCTTGCAGCAAGCAGAGCTGCAGAGGCAAGTGGGGATCCGGGCTCCCCTGACACTGCAGGGCCCCACTCCTGTTCCAGGCACACACGTCTCCGTGGAATGCAGCCCCAGCCAGGACACCGTTTGTGTCCAGTGTCCCGAAAATTCCTACAACGAGCACTGGAACCATCTCTCCTTCTGCCAGCTGTGCCGCCCCTGTGACCAGAGTGAGTAGCAGGGGGCTTGGGGGAGGCTGGGATCTCCCAGAGCGTGGGCCCTCCACTGAGCTCTCCTGTCTCCCCGCCAGTGCTGGGCTTCGAGGAGACCATGCCTTGCACCAGCAGACAGAAGACCCAGTGCCGCTGCCAACCAGGAATGTTCTGCGCGCACTGGGACACGGAGTGTGTACACTGTGAGCCACTCTCCGACTGCCCACCAGGCACTGAGGCCAAGCCGACAGGTCAGAGGTTGCTGTGGGAGGAGGGCAGGAAGGACGCTGGGTGCAGGGAGCACCATCCAGGACTTGGGGGGGGAGCCCCCCAGGTAGTTCTCTTGGGTATAAAGAGCCGCCTCTCCCTCCCTGTGAAGGACCCACCACAGGGGTCTGCAGAGACACCTGGACAGAGGCAGAATCTCAGAAAGCTTCTCTCAGCAAGAGGGAGATCAGGAAAGGTGCCGAGGAATGAGATGGGGGGGCAGGCAGGGACCGGCGGAAATTCAAAGCATGGAAAGACCCGCCCCCCACCCTTGCCCACTCACCGTGGCTGGCCTTGCTTTTCTCTTGCCAGATGAAGTCGGGGTAGTTAACAGAAACTGTGTGCCCTGTAAGGCAGGCCACTTCCAGAACACCTCCTCCCCCAGGGCCCGCTGCCAGCCCCATACAAGGTGAGTGTCCCTCCACCCCACTCCCCCACCATCCTAGAAGTGCCAGCTGCTGACCACCCTATGCTCACACCCATGGGCTCACCCTGCCACTCCCAGCCCTGTGCCCACCTGAATCGGGCCTCTCTTTCTGCTGCAGGTGTGAGGAGCAGGGCCTGGTGGAGGCAGTTCCAGGCACTGCCCGGTCTGACGCCAGCTGCAGAAATCCCCCAGAGCACACGGAGATGCCAGGTGAGCGCCTGGGGCTGAGGGGCATATGGGGAGGGGCGGGGCGGGGGGTGGGGAGGGAAGTCTGGGAAGATGCCTTTATTCCTTCTATCTCAAAAAGTGGGGAAAAGCTGAATGCATCTCAGAATTGGGGCAAGTGGAGAAGTTCCTTAGGGTGTATCCCTTGGCGAACTTAACATATACTCTTAACATATAATATATAACTTAACATATATATATAACATATGTTATATATATATATATACACATATATTGTATATATATACATATATACATATATATAACATATATATATAACACACATATATAACATATGTATACACATATATATAATGTTATATATATACATATAACTTGTAAGTTACATACAATGTGTGCCAAGGACCACTCCTACTGACATGAAATTGTAGCTGACATCACTATCATCACTTTGGACCTGCCACCGTCATATAATCTACTTACTAGACAGAATCTGTTTATTAGATTACACGCTTATATTATTAGAAAATTCACCCCACATTTGACTCTTTCTCAGTCTGTTGCTTTTTGTTTGTTTGTTTGTTTTTTCTGTGAACTTATTGGTTTCCTAGCCCAGCAAATGATTGAGGGATATTTCTAATGACTATAAAGATTATAAGTTGGGAGAGAGTTTATTAACTTTTTTAAGTTACCACATAATGATATCTTTCATTTATCGAGAGCTAGTGTGTCAGACACTCTGTCGGCACCTGACAATCACTAACTCATTTAATATATATTTTTAAGATTTTATATATTTATTTGAGACAGAGAGAGAGCACACACAGGGGGAGAGGCAGGCAGAGGGAGAAGCAGGCTCCCCACTGAGCAAGGAGTCTGAAGCAGGGTTCCATCCCAGGACACTGGGATCATGACCCGAGCCAAAGTCAGATGTTTAACTCACTGAGCCACCCAGGCGTCCCTAACTCTTTTAATCTTGCTTAATGACTCTACAAAGTACAGATGACCCTTTAACAACATGACTGCGCAGGTTCACTTATATGTGGCTTTTTTTCAAAAAATACAGCACAGTGCTGTAAATCATTTTCTCTTCCTTATGATTTTCTCTAACATTTTCTTTGCTCTCACTTTATTGTGAGAGCACAGTATATAAATACATAACCTGCATTAATCAGCTGTGTTACTGGTAAGGCTTCTAGCCAACGGCAGACTATTCAGAGTGAAGACTTCTTGGGAATCAAAAGTTATACATGGATTTTCGACTGCACGATGGTCGGCGCCCCTAACCCCTATGTTGTTCCGGGGTCAACTGTAGTTCTGTTATTAATGCTCACGGAGGGAAGGAGGCTCGGCAGAGTTCATGTGACTTGCCCCAGATCACACAGGTGGTAACTGATGTTATGAAAACCTACACTCGGTTCCTTCTTACTCCAGAGCCCGTGCCATAAATGTATGCATACTGTAGAAAATCAGAAAATTCAGAGAAACAAAACTAAAAACCACCCACAGGACCATCACTTAGCATATCCACTCTTAACATTTCTTAATATATCCTTCCAGTTGTTTTTCTAAAAGTGGAGTCATTTGAATATTTTGTAATTTGATTTTTCACTCAAATATATCCTAAATCTTTTTCCATGTCCTCTTGTTACTTTATAACCATGCATCATGCCACTGGCACTTTAGAGCTGGAATTTTAGACCGTATGTACCTAACCCCCTCATTTTACCTTTGATATGCTCCAAAAGGAGGAATGATAAAAAGTCACCCAATTGGGCTGGAACCCAGATGTCTTGGACTCCAGGTTCAGTTTTTTTTCCCAGGCCTCCCACTCTATCCTCCCTTAAGCCCCAGGTTTAGATGGATCAGAAAGGGCAAGCTTCCAGGATGCAGCTCTCCAATCCTTCCTAACCTTCTCCAGACACGTGATGGGCACTGTAGACTCTGCTGTGAAAGACAGAAATTACCAAGGTTACATACCAGAATCTGAGAAACCCAAGTCCCAGCCTCCCTTCCCTCCCCCTCCTGGAACTGGCCCTAAGCAAGGGGGTGGGGAACTTGCAGCCTCTCCTCTCTCACCCCCAGAAACACCCCACAGAGACAGAGGGGCAATCTCATCCCCTACAGTGGCCTCTCTCTAGGATGGGCACGTCCACAGAAGTGTTGCTCTACCCTGTGTCCTGAGTCGCTTACAAACCCAAGCCCCACCCTCCCTGTACCTCCTCCACCCCCTCTTCCAGCCCTGGAAACCCAACTGAGCATGCATCTGTTCTCACCCACAAACTGCCTCTTTCCCTGGTCTCTATGTGGTGGCCACCAGCACCACCCCCAAAGATCTCCATCCGTGAGTTGCTCTTGGCTGTCAGCAGGTCCTCTCCAAGTCCGACTTGGTTTCCCTTCTCTGTAACCCAAGGGAAATTTCTCTAATTCTGCCTTTAGGAGCTTTAGTGGGTCTGGAAGGGAAAAGCTGCTCCCCCTTTTCTGTAGGTCGCCCAAACTACTGGAAACCTGGTCCTTAGCTAGCCCCCCACCCCGCCCACCCTGCCCTTTCCAGTGTCATCATGGCTCCCCTGTCTGCTGTCCCCACAGGAACTATGATGGTGCTGGCCATCCTGCTGCCACTGGCCTCATTCCTGCTCCTCACCACCGTCCTGGCCTGCACCTGGAAGAGCCACCCCTCTCTCTGCAGGAAGCTAGGTAGGAAGAAGCTGGATACAGGCAGGGAGGCAGGCCTGGCCAGCTGGCTGCCCTCACCTGCATGAGGGAGGGAAGACTTGCGATGCCCGCCCCCAGCATGGACATCCTCTCCACCCAGCCCCCTATTCTTAGGCTGGAGATAAGGGCAACGATAGCCCTGGGAACCCACGGTGGGGGGCATACACCCCGGTAGGCTGTGAACGGTGCAAGCCAGGGGGCCCAGGGCCTAATGGAGGCCTGACCCCCATTTCATTTTCCGTTGCAGGATCTCTGCTGAAGAGGCGTCCAGAGGTAATGGGGAAGGCTGAGAAGGCAGCAGGGAGGGCCAGGCTGGGCTAAGTGAATAGGCTGGGGTAGGCAGGGTAAGAGTGTGTAGGCTTCAACATCCACTCAACTAATAAGTGATTGAGCCTACCATGTGCCAGGCTCTGTTCTGGGCACCATGGATATAGCAGTGAACAAAGCAAAGTTCCTGCCCTCCTGGAGTTACGGGCCAAGGGAGCAAGACTAAAGTTAAAGAAATACATATCAGTGGGTGATAGTTGTTAAATAAAGCTCAGTAGGGGGACAGTGAGTGACAGTGGCAAAGGGTGGGGGTACATTATCTTAGAGTGGACAGAGAGGGCCTCTCTGACAAACTGATATTTGAGCAGAGAGCTGAAGAAATGAGGGAGCCATCCATCAGAACATCTCGGGGAAAGTGCCCCAGGAAGAGGGGCATCAATTGCAAAGGCCCTGTGGCAGGGAACATGAAGTGGAGTAGAGGAGAACAGTGAGCTGCCTAAGCATGGGATGGGGTGTGGGAATTCAAGAAAGCTGGGATCCAAGACCCATGTCATCGGTTGGTTCTCTGCCTCTCTCCTCCAGGGAGAGGAATCAAATACCGCTGATGGAAGCTGGGAGCCTCCAAGGGTCAACCCACATTTCCCTGACCTGGTAAAGCCACTTCTGCCCTTTGGAGACATAGCCCCCGCCTCGGCCAGTCTCCCAGCACCCCCAGCTTTGGAGGAAGAGATGCTACAGCAACAGAGTCCTCTCGGCCAGGCCAGGGAGCTGGAGCCGGAGCTCCCAGAGCAAAGCCAGGTGGCCCATGGTGAGCCTAGGGCAGGTAGCAGGGAGGAGAGGGGGAGGGAAGGAAGGGTGGGGTGGGAGGGATGGTGGGCAGGAGGCAAGTGTGGGCCAGACAGAAATAAGAAGACTGAAGCAGAGCAAGACAGAGACTCCCAACAGCTTGCCATCAGCCCCTCTCAGTCGGCCTCCTTTCCCACAGGTACCAGCGGCATTCATGTCACCGGTGGGTCTGTGACTGTCACCGGCAACATCTACATCTACAATGGGCCGGTCCTGGGGGGAGCACGGGGCCCCGGAGACCCCCCTGCTTCCCCAGAGCCTCCATATCCCACCCCTGAAGAGGGTGCCCCTGGCCCTCCTGGACTCTCCACACCCTACCAGGAGGATGGCAAAGCTTGGCATCTGGCTGAAACAGAGACACTGGGCTGCCACGCCCTCTAACAGAGCCAAGGACCCAACTTGTCACCCATGCCTCTTGGTGTCTGGGAATAGCCAGAAGGGATGTGCAAGAGCACCTTCTCCCTGAGGCTGCCCTACCCACCCAGGACTGACCGAGGGCCTGGGTCGGGCCCCTAAGAGGCAGACCGTGAGGGGCCAGGCCTCAGACGCACCTCCGAGAGCAGGGCCGGGCACTGGCTGGGTAGGTACCCCCCACAAGACTCTCACCAGCAGCTGAGCGGGCCTGAGACTTCATTGCAGACCCTCCTGCCCACGGGGCCTGCGACAGCTCAGCTTCCAGCACGGACCGGGCATGTGATGCTCACTGCTGCCCACCACGGCACTCGGCAGCCTCCGCACGGCCGAGCAGGAGACCGGCCACATGGTCACAGACGAGGACATCCGCGGGACCTCCAGCAGATTCGTGGTGCTCATCCCCAAGCTTCAGAGGCCCTTTGAGAGCCCACCCTTCACACGGACTGAAGTAGACCCTGTAGGAAGATGGGGTTCATGGAGGACTGCCCCTCCCCTCTCTGCCTGATGGGAAAGGGAAGGACTGACAACTGGGGGGTTTGGACACAGTTACTGGGTAGAAGGGAGAGTTTGGGAGGGGGAGGAAAATGGCAAGTGTATTTATAAATTGTAACCACATGCAAATAAAGAGATTGAGACCTAGATCACTCATTTTCTTGGGATTCTCAGAGAAACGCTGTTCCACTGGGGCAATGTCAAAGGCAAAGGTCAAAACACTAAAATACAATCCTACAAAGGGCTGGTGTATGTAATTGAGGTGATAACAGTATTAGCCTGGGATCGCTGACAAGGTGGCAGACAGTGCTCCAGACACTTTATAATATTAACTTAAGCAATCCTCACTGCATCTCCCTGAGAGAGATACTTTCAATATTCTCCTTGAACAAATGGGGAAACTGAGGCACAGAGAGGGTAAATGACTTGCCCAATTCAGCTGCAAACGGCAAAGCTGGATTTCCACCCAGTCAGTCCGGCTCTGGAGGTAAAACCTTCACAAACCACACACCTGTATAGAATTTCCCCCGAAAAGGTTTAAAAAAAAAAAAAAAGTGATGGTGGGGAGGAGTAGGTGAGGGCGGGGCGGGGGACTGGTTTTCTCAAATAAGCAGATCTCCTTCACGTCCCCCAGGCATTCAGTCGGAGCCAACTCTCACACCCCTAGCCACAGTGCAAAGTGAAAGAGTGTTCTTTCCACATGGCCGGTCAAAGGGAAAGACAAGCACTTCAGAGATAAAATATGAGAGACCAAGTTCCCATTCTGTCGGTGAAGAGATCCAGGCCGACCTCCTTCGGCGCTCCTTCAGAAGGGGCTCTCGTGATTTTTACTTGTTTATTCCGTTTTGTCTTATTTTGCTCCCCAAAAGGACTTTAAATCTTCTCAAGCTCTTCTACTAGGAAATGTTTGGGCCCTAGAATTTATCTATCTCACTGCCTGGTGGAGACAACCTGCACATGAAGGATTGTGAGGGAAGCAGCTGCCAGAGGACTTCGCCTTCCATAAAAGGCCACCGTGTGGGTCTAGTGTTAAGAACTCTGTCGCTGGCGCTCATCAGGATGGCGTGGCTGCGGGACACGTAGCCATCTGAGCCAACGGAGCGGATGGGTTATTTAAGGTTGACCATGAAAGTATTAGATCCAAATTCCTTTTTTTTTTTTTAATTTATTTGTCAGAGAGAGAGGGAGAGAGAGCGAGCACAGGCAGACAGAATGGCAGGCAAAGGCAGAGGGAGAAGCAGGCTCCCCGCCGAGCAAGGAGCCCAATGTGGGACTCGATCCCAGGACACCGGGATCATGACCTGAGCCGAAGGCAGCCGCCCAACCAACTGAGCCACCCAGGCGTCCCTCCAAATTCCTTTTTTAAGAATTAAGTCATGGGGCACCTGGGTGGCTCAGTCAGTTTAACATCTGCCCTCAGCTCAGGTCATGATCCCGGGGTCCTGGGATTGAGTCCTGAGTCCGGCTCCCTGCTCAGCGGGGAGTCTGCTTCTCCCTCTGCCCCTCCCCCTGTTCTTTTTCTCTCTCTCTCTCTAATAAAATAAAAAAAAATTTTTAGGTGTTTTTTTTTTTTTTTTTAAAGCTATAGAGAGCTGTATCTTTAGAGTTAATCCCCCCTCTCTTCCAGTATGCCAGAGCCAGACTACGTGAATCCTTAATCATTGCTCCAATGTATTTAGATAAAAACCAAATTTTATACATTTTTCAACAAAATAAAACGGATGAAAGCTTTTTTTTTTTTTTTTTAAAGATTTTAATTATTTGACAGAGAGAGAGAAATCACAAGTAGGGAGAGAGGCAGGCAGAGAGAGAGGGGAAGGAAGCAGGCTCCCTGCGGGGCAGAGAGCCCGGCTTGGGGCTCGATCCCAGGACCCTAGGATCATGACCTGAGCCGAAGGCAGAGGCTTTAACCCACTGAGCCACCCAGGCGCCCCGGATGAAAGCTTTTGTAAAGAAACGGTGCTAAGGCCCTAGGTGGCACCGTTCACACTTAGGACCACACCAGTCTGTGTGAATTTCTTAGGGCTGCCATCACAAAGCACTGCAAGCTGGGGGCTTCAAGAACAGAAAAGTATTTTCTCACCAGTCTGGAGGCTAGAAGTCCAAGATCAAGGTGTCAGCAGGGTGGGTTTCTTCTGAGGCTTCTCTCCTTGGCTTCCTGATAGCTGTCTTCTCCCTGCATGTGGTCTTCTCCCTCCTGTTTGTGTCCTGATCTCCTTTTTTTCTTTAATGAGAGAAAGAGCAGAGAGAGAGAGGGACAAGCGGACTCTGTGCTGAGCACGAGCCCAGTGCAGAGTGCCATCTCAGGAGATCATGACCTGAGCCGGACATTCAACCAGCTGAGCCACCCAGGGACCCCTAATCTCCTCCTCTTATAAAGACGCCGGTCAGATTGCATAAGGGCCCACCCTAATGACCTCAGTTTAATTTAATTACCTCTTTAAAGACTATGTCCAAGCACAGTCGTGTCCTGAGGTACTGGGGTATAGGACCTCCACATATGAATTTGGGGGGACATGATTCAGCCTATAACACAGCCCATGATTATTTTGCCAGAGATGAGTTAACAGGCTCCAAGCCACACCAACAGAGCATGTTTTATGTTGAGAGGAGCTCTCCCTAGAATGAAAGCTGATAGAAAAGCAAGGAGGACAGCCTGTTGATTGTTATCTTCAAAAGAAAGAACCAGGGGTGCCTGGGTGGCTCAGTGGGTTAAAAGCTTCTGCCTTCAGCTCAGGTCATGACCCCAGGGTCATGGGATTGAGCCCCACATCAGGCTCTCTGCTCAGCAGGGAGCCTGCTTCCTCCTCTCTTTCTGCCTGCTTCTCTGCCTACTTGTGATCTCTGTCTGTCAAATAAATAAATAAAATCTTTAAAAAAAAAAAAAAAAGAAAGGAAGAATGAAAGAACCAGATACAAGAAGAGGTGAGGAGGGGACAATTGGGTCTGAATCCAGCTAGCCTGCCATACTTGACTTCTGAGAATGCCACTCCTATATCACACAGGGGACAAAGGCAACACAGACTGATGACAGCATGGCTGCAGGGAGCCCAGGAAGGAGGCTAAGACAGCAGTCCATAAGAGAGATGGACATAACTGGGTATAGAGTACTGGCAGTGGGAGATGTGGGGCTATGTTGTCCAAAAGGGTAATGAAGTTTTTATTTATTTATTTATTTTCAAAAGATGGAGTGGTTCACATTGACGACTGTGATAAATTCTTTCTGCAAACCCCCCAGCAGACCTCTGTACCTTTCCTAGGAACAGAACCCCATTTCTGTACTAGGACAAAGATTCCATGACATTAGCAGAAGAGGCCCTTTCCCTAATCCCAGGAGCCAGTAAACCCATTTCCTTCTGCCAGAAATTGGTTTAGGATGGACATGAGGTCCATTTCTGACCAATGATGTATATAGGGAAGTCTTCCTTCCCAGGACAAAAACACATCATTAGGAGAAAGTGTTTGGCTTTCTTTGTCCCTTCTTTCTTGTGTGGAGGATATTTGTGTGAGAACATAATGCCTGAGCTGTGGCAGCCATCTTGCTATCATGAGGAAAAGTCCAGGTTGATAAAAAGCCAATCCTCTGAGGATAGAGGTCCTGGAAGAAAAGAAAAGAACATGGTTCATGAGACATTCTTTTTGTGTAAATCAGAGCAAGTTAAGTTTTCGTTTTCTTTTCTGGTTTTAACTTTATTTCCTTTCTTTGGGTATTCATATGGATCAAAATTCAGAAAATATCAACAAGTAAACAGTGGAATGTCTCTCTTCCACTCCTGACCCTCAAACACCACAGTGCCCTCCCTGGAAGCAACCACTGTCACTGTTTCTGATGTTTTTTCCAGAGGTAACTTACAAATATATACACTTATATTCCCTTCCTCCTTTTTCCCACATTCTCCGTATATCCTTCCCCTTGTCTTTTTCACTTAGCAAAATAGCTTGGCCATAATTCCATGTCAGTATCAAAAAGCTCCCTCGTTAATTGTTATATCTGCTTCTACATAGTATCCCATTATATGGTCACCCCATTTAACTAGATCCCTTTGAGGCATTTTAATTCATTTCCAATCTTACTATTAAAAACAATTCCAGGGGCATCTGGGTGGCTCAGCTGGTTCAGTGTCTGACTCTTGGTTTCAGCTCAGGTCATGATCTCAGGGTCATGAGATAGAGCCCATACATAGCTGGGCTCTGTGCTCAGTCGGGAGTCTGCTTGAGAATCTCTCTCTCCCTCTCCTTCTGCCCCTCCCCTGCTTTCACAGATGCATGCTCAATCTCTCTCGAATAAATAAATAAATCCTTTTTTTTAAAGTTCCACAATAATAACATATTTTGTTTTACACATGTGGGAGTATTGCTATCAAAAAATTTCTAGGGGCGCCCGGGTGGCTCAGTTGGTTGGGCGGCTGCCTTCAGCTTAGGTCGTGATTCCAGGGTCCTGGGATCGAGCCCTGCATTGGGCTCCCTGCTCAGCGGAGAGCCTGCTTCTCTCTCTCCCCTCTCCCTGCCACTCTGCTTACTTGTGCTCTCTCTCTAGCTCTCTGTCAAAAACAAAACAAAACAAAACAAAAATTTCTAGAGAGGCACCTGGGTGGCTCAGTTGTTAAGTGTCTGCCCTCGGCTCAGGTCATGATCCCCAGGTCCTGGGATCCCTACTCAGCGGGAAGCCTGCTTCTCCCTCTCCCACTCCCCCTACTTTTATTCTCCCTCTTGTTATCTCTCTCTTTGTGCCAAATAAATAAATAAAATCTTATTTTTTAATTGCTAGAAATAAAATTGGAGGTCAAAGGGTAGGTGTATTTTATTTTGATAGCATTACTAAATCGCCCTCCATAGAGACTGAACATGAGCTATTTTTTAAAGATATTTATTTATTTATTTATTTATTTATTAGAGAGAGAATGAGCACAAGCAGGGGGAGCAGCAGAAGCAGACTCCCTGATGATCAGGGAGCCTGATGCTGGGCTCAGGGTTTGATTCCAGGACCTTGGGATCAAGACCTGAACTGAAGGGAGACGCTTAATCAACTAAGCCACCCAGGTGTCCCTGAACATGAGCTATTTTTAAGAGTGTCCATTTCCATATGCCAACACCAACTTTAGTGTGTTATCAAACATTTTGATCTTTGCCAATGTGAAAGGTGAAAAATGTTATCTGAGTATAATTTTTATTTGCATTTCTTATTATGAGTGAACTTTTTCATTTTATTGCTAGTAAATATTTTCATTATGTTAAGAGTAATTTGGGGTGCCTGGGTGAGTAGGTCGTTAAGCATCTGCCTTGGGCTCAGGTCATGATCCCAGGGTACTGGGATCGAGCCCCGCCTCGGGGTCCCTGCTCAGGAGGAAGCCTGCTTCCCCGTCTCCCACTCCCTTTGCTTGTATTCCGTCTCTCGCTGTGTCTCTCTGTCAAATAAATAAATAAAATCTTTAAAATGGGGCGCCTGGGTGGCTCAGTGGGTTAAAGCCTCTGCCTTCGGCTCCGGTCATGATCTCAGGGTCCTGGGATCGAGCCCCATATCGGGCTCTCGGCTCTGCAGGGAGCCTGCTTCTCCCTCTCTCTCTGCCTGCCTCTCTGCCTCCTTGTGATCTCTCTCTGTCAAGTAAATAAATAAAATCTTTTTAAAAATTTTTTAAAAAGAGTCATTTGTAATTTACTTTCCACTGTCTGTTCATCTCTAACTATTTTTCTATAGAACAATTTCCAAATGTTATTTTGCTATCCTTGAAATCACCTATTAAACAGTGATTTATTTCTTCACTAACTGGTAACACTGCCATTAGCATAAACCACATTTGTGTAAGAATTTGCATTTACTTCTGGATTTTCAGGTTTCCTCTTTTGATCTGTCTTTTTAATCTGCTAGCACCCACAGTCTTCCAATTAATTTAGCTTTATATTTTAATATCTATTAGAGCTCCTTTTGATCTCCTTTTCCAGAATGTTCTAATGTTTTCTTACTTCCTTTTCTGAATAAACTTCAAGATCAGCGTCTTTAGTCCCCCTTCCCCTATAAAAGCTCCCACTGGTATTTGTATTGAGATCGCACCAGATTTATCTTACTCAGAGAGAACTAACATGTTCCTCACGCTGGCTCCTTTTCAAGAACATGATGATATATTTTTTAAAAATATCTTATGTATTTATTTGACAGAAAGAGAGAGAAGAAGCAGGGGGAGCAGCAGACAAAGGGAGAGAAAGATAAGCAGGCGCTGCTGGGCTCTGTGCTGGGGAAGTGGGGGGGTCCAGGCAGGGTTCCATGCGTGTCAGGAGCCTGGGATCAAGACCTGAGCCAAGGGCAGATGCTTAATGACTGAGCCACGCAGGCGTCCCAGAACATGGTGACTTTCAATGTGTTGATTCCTTTTGTGTGGCTTGTTAGTGTTTTAATGTTTAATTTTTTAAAATATAGATTGTGAGTATTTCTTGCTAAGTCCATTCCTAGGTGTTTTATCTTTTTTTAAAAGATTTTAGTTATTTATTTGACACACAGAGATCACAAGTAGGCAGAGAGGCAGGCAGAGAGAGAGAGTGGGGGGACCTATGCTCCCCACTAAGCAGAGAGCCTGATGTGGGGCTCGATCCCAGAACCCTGAGATCATGACCTGAGCCAAAGGCAGAGGCTTTAACCCACGAGCCACCAGGCGCCCCTAGGTGTTTTATCTTTATAAATGCTACAGAAATGGGATCTTTTCTGACTTAATTTTTTTTAACCCTGCTACCTACTGAATTCTCTTAGCATCTATAAGAGCTTTTCAGTTGATGCACTTGGGTCATCTCCTTTAAATCCTGTGAAATTATTCTCTACTATCTAATTTTTATACTTCTAAGACATTTAGATTTTAATCTCATCTAAATACATTGCTTAGTACCTTCAGAACAATGTTAAATGGTCAACGGCATTAATGAACATTACTGTCTTCATCCTGATTTTAAGGGGAATACTTTTAGTGTTTCCCCATTTAGCAGGAGTTGTAATAGATTTATTTTTATTACACTAAGAAAATATCCATCACTTACTATTTCACTGAGGTTTTTATTTTTTAGATTTTATTTATTTATTTATTTGTCAGAGAGTGAGAGAGCGCACAAGCAGGCAGAGTGGCAGGCAGAGACCAGAGAGAGAAGCAGGCTCCCTGCTGAGCAAGGAGCCCAATGTGAGACTCGTTCCCAGGACCCCGGGATCATGACCTGAGCCGAAGGCAGTTGCCCAGCTGACTGAGCCATCCAGACGTCCCTTTTTTTTTTCTTTTAGATTTTATTTATGAGATTTTTATTTTTAAAAGATTTTATTAATTTATTTGAGAGAAAGAGAGAGAACACAAGCAGGGACAGAGGGCGAGGGAGAAGCAGGCTCCCTGCTGAGCAAGGAGCCCGATGCGGGGCTGGATTCCAGGACCTTGGGATCATGACCCAAGCTGAAGGCAGATGCTTAACCGACTAAGCCACCCAGGCACCCCTATTTCACTGAGGTTTTAAACTAACAATGGATATTGAATCTTTACAAAAAGCAAACACATGCCATTTAAGCCTCCGAAGAGTTCATTATATATCTATCCACCTGATAAATTACATAAATCAGTTTCCTGATGTTAAACTATCTTTACTTTTCTGAAGAAACCCACACTTGATCTTGTTCTGTTTTTCTTTGAATGGACCTCTGGGACCCTGTTTGCTAATATTTTACTTCAGATTCTCATTCATGAACTGGGCCTATAATATTGGTCTGTTTAATGTTGCTCATAGCTTTATAATTATATTTATATTTCTGACAGAACACTTCATCTTAAAGGAATTCTACCTTAGAGTTAATTTAGTTGAGTATCTAGGACTGCCAACCTCTCACCTCCCCCAACCCAAGGTCAACACATCCCCTAACCATGCTTCTGCTCAACAGAGTTATATAGTTCGGTATCTTCTAGGCACCTGTTTGTTTTTATGTGCTTATCATGAAAAGATTTACTTGTTCTAAGTTGTATACCTCTGAGATCCTCAAATTATGGACTGACCCTCAAAACACCTGTTTGAATCCCAAAATTTGTATGGAACCAGAAAAGACCCCAAATAGCCAAGGAAATGTTGAAAAAGAAAAGCAAAGCTGGGCATCACATTGCCTGATTTCAAGCTATACTACAAAGCTGTGATCACCAAGACAGCATGGTATTGGCACAAAAACAGACACACAGACCAGTGGAACAGAGTAGAGAACAGATATGGACCCTCAACTCTACAGTCAAATAATCTTTGACTAAGCAGGAAAAAATATCCAGTGGGAAAAAGACAGTCTCTTCAATAAATGGTGCTGGGAAAATTGGACAGCCACATGCAGAAGAATGAAACTCGACCATTCTCTTACATCATACACAAAGATAAACTCAAAATGGATGAAAGACCTCAGTGTGAGACATGAATCCATCAAAATCCTAGAGGAGAACCTAGGCGGTAAGCTCTTTGACATTAGCCATAGCCACTTCTTTTAAGACACGTCTCCAAAGACAAGGGAAACAAAAGCAAAAATGAACTTTTGGGACTTCATCAAGATAAAAAAGCTTCTGCACAGCAAAGGAAACAGTCAAAAAAACAAAGAGGCAACCCATG